AGTATTTTACCGAAGTTCAAATCTCATAAATTGATGAAAGGAGATACAAATCAAAGCAATAACCAAACATTGAGGGAATCATATGATATCTATAATGAGTTTATTGTGAACTCCAAAAAGAACGAGACATGATGCATCAACAGGGTAAACGTCTCCTGCTATGAAAAAAAAGTCATAATAATATAGATCTGAAGAGAGTAATAAGAATGTGATTTTTCTTTTAAATTAAAGTATTAATCTTCGTATCAATTAAACAGGCCTACCGTGTAGAAACCTTTCACTTTGAAAGGGGAATTAAAAACAAAAATAAGTTACAGTTCTACCACTTTGTCTGAATTATTTTTTGATTTTTTGTTTTCGATTGAGTGGTGTTGTCAATGAATGTTGTCTTGTCATTTATCAATATATTTGAACACTTTTACAGAGGGATGTGCTTCCTATGTTTTTAATTTAGCATTACACCAGAAATGATTCAGATACTAAATTGATAAAATTTTGTCCATCCATAAAAAGTGCAAGAATAATAAGCGAATTACCTGAAATTCGTCAAAATTTTCATAACTAATAAAACACCCTATCACAGATCAGCTGAATTATCTATCGTAGAGGATCTTACAAATCAATTTAGGATGCAGTCACAGGAATAATTATATTTTAATTACGTCTGAACCAGTGACAACTTTACGACAGATTTTATCCATCGTATCACCAGCAGTGATGGTGATACTAGGCTGAAAACACATTCTGTATATATAATTCGTCTAAATAACAGCCCAACAATGTTAGTTCTGTAAATTCACTGTGATCCGATGGATAAAATCTGTCGTAAAGTTGTCACTGGTTCAGACATACCTATAATATTATTAAGTCTGTGACTGCATCCTACGTATACATTAATTTGTAAGATCCTCTACGATAGATAATTCAGCTGATCTGTAATATTCCATCTTCATGCCTTATATATCATGTACTGTGTTACGACGCTAGATAAAAACTGACGAGGAAAGGTAACACCCGGCCACCGAAAGCTTGATTTTTATCGAGCCTAGGTGTTGGAGTGGTCTAGCGCGCCGGGCATAGTGCAAGGCGATTTGGTGCCATTATATCTCAGTAGAATGAGTTCCTACCCCGGCCAGGGAAGAACAAAAATTTGCTTCCGCAAATTTACAGATCTAACATTGTTGGACTGTTATTTAGATGAATTATATATATAGAATGTGTGAGCTTTGTATCACAATCACTGGTGATCCGATAGATAAAATCTGTCGTAAAGTTGTCACGGGTATAAACGTACTTATATATATATATATATATATAAGTAGCATGAGTTCGAATCACGGACAGGGAAGAACAAAACATTTGCTTCCGCAAATTTAAAGATCTAACATTGTTGGGCTGTTGATTAGACGAATTATATATACGGAATGAATTTTCAGCCTTGTATCACCATCACTGCTTGTGATCCGATGGATAAAATCTGTTGTAGAGTCGTCACTGGTTCAGACGTACTTATAATATAATTATTTCTGTGACTGCATCATAATTAATTTGTAGGATCCCTTACAATAGATAATTCAGCTGATCTGTAACAATTCCTTCTTCATGCCTTATATATAATGTACTGTGTCACGACACTAGATAAAAACTGACCAGGAAAGGTAACACCTGGCCACCGAAAGCTTTATTATTATAGAGCCTAGGTGGTCGAGTGGTCGAGCGCGTCGGGCATAGTGCAAGGTGAATTGGGGCCACGATATCTCAGTAGCACGAGTTCGAATCCCGGCCAGGGAAGAACAAAAAAAATTGCTTCCGAAAATTTACAAATCTAACATTGTTGGGCTGTATATATATATATATATATATATATATATATATATGTATATATAATGCTTTCTGTCTTTTTGCAGCATTATGAAATCTAAAAGAAAAGGTAGAAGAATTATCACCATCCCTTCATTTATCTGTTCAATCCCTTATATTTTATTTCAAAACCACAAAGAATGAACTTGGGAAAAGGAATATATTCACAATGGTCTTCTTCCTACAGGCAATAAACCCCTTGCCAAAGTGGGGCGTCTGTTTTGCTGTGCTGGATATATAAGTACGCAGTCACATCAGGTTAGAATGAGGACGTTACCTCTGATACCTCGTGATGAGAGAGTACAACTCTCTCTGCACGTTAAGAACCCTTGCAACAACTCTTCGAGTGGTCCGAAGTGGCTGTCGCAAGGCAAGATTTCTGTCCCTATCCAATATACCCTTATTTTCCACTGGCAGTTTCCTTGGACAAATTTCCTGATCATGCATGAAATATTTGCCATTCGACGTTAAACAAACATCAATCAATCAATCTTATATTTTAAATATGACGTATGATGAAAATTAACAGTACAAAATATTTTCTACTGGTCGACGTTCCTGTTTGAAAAAGAATTTAACAACTAAAAAAATGTTAAAGTTCTTACACTTTGTCTCAATAGACCAGTTTCACATAAGCGACTTATCAACGCTGATCTCGAAATCTTATGCGCGTTTGAGTTTAAATCCCGCGATAATTACCGATATCATACGTGACAGGGGGCTACATCAAATTGACTCTGATATTTAGCAACACAATAATAAATCAACCGATAATACACATCTCTCTCTCGTGGTGTATGCTGGAGATTATTCAATTTTACGATTTATTAATAAATATTCAGAATAAATAGTTTGACCGTTTATACAGAGAATAACATAAATTTAAAATAAAAAAATATCCACCAGAGCCAAATGACAGACGAAAGCAACCATATGTCACCATACAGCCCTCGACAATGAGAAACTCTATACCGAATAGTAAGCTCTAAAAGGTCACGACATAAAACAATTCAAACGAGAAATAAGTCATCTTGTTGCTGTAAAGAGTTTCTAACAGCTGTATTTATGGGTTTAAAAAGTATTAATCTTGTAATTGCTTTCTTTTGCTTACTGCGCTATGTACATTGCTGTATGTCTGTTTGATTTTTCGTGAAAAGAGAAAAATATTTTGAATAAAAAGAAAACAACCTAAACATCAGAAATACATTTAATTTCAGTTCTGTTCCAGTATCAATTCCTAGTTTTTCTTAAATATTTTTTTACATCTTCTTGCGACATGCATGTAAAGGGTTGCGGCCTACATATAGGTTTAGTATCATAGACTCAAACTTTTAATTTTCTTTTCAACAAAAACAAGTTACTGTTATGGTGACTTTTGTGTGAATTTTTATGGGTACAAGGACATTTTCAAGTTACAAGCACTACTAAATAATCGAAATTTCCACTAATGGTAGTACGGAAGTATAAACGAAAATTGATAGAATTTTTCCTTATATCCTTTGTCGAAGATGTAGTATATATTGTGATATGTTAAAAATATGAAAAACCCAATGATAGGTCACCGAGGTTGTTTTCAAGCTACATGCTGTGAAAAAAAATGAAACATTTTGTATAGATTATACAGAGAAAATTTTTAAGGTATCATTATATGAATATTTGAAGGTAAAATGAATGATAGAATTTCAAAATAAAATGTGAGAAGATAGCTCTTATTAAATGCTTTCAGAATACAACTAGAAAAAATTTAGTCACCATGCGTTTTATCCTGTTTAGCATACATGGCATATAACATAAAATAGAAAACTTGTCTGTTAATTGTAATAGACATATAGTAGACAGGGCCCTGGTTCCGTGTTGAAGACCGTACTTTGACCTATAATTGTTAACTTTTTATACATTGTGACTTGGATTGAGAGTTGTCTCATTGTCACTCATACCACATCTTCTTATTTGTATGTACATTTGTTTCAACGTATCAGAAATACAGGTTTATCTTCAATTTTCAAACATCACACTATAATACAATGCATTCAATACCATTTTAATTTCTAAGCTATATTCATGATCGACCTAGTCTAAGCAGAGGTTCAGTGCCAGTGGCCAGAGTAATGTTCTACATATTTTCAACTTTATAAGTGTTCATGCCATTAAAAGTAATTGAATATCCTGTATTTACCACGCTTTACCATAAAATAATATCAAACTGCTGAATGACCCTCCTCCTAAATTATTAAAATATTCCTAGTGGCATTAACCGTACTGGCCATGATATCTCAGTGTAAATTAGGTGCCAGGGTTAACATTTTAAACATCTGTATTAGGGGATGACCATTTGATTTTCAGGGGGGGGGGGGGGGGGGGGGTAGAAAATTAATATTCTAGTAGGAGTTAAAAATGAATAATTATGACCCGAAGGCAGGATGGAAAAGAATAATCTGCAACACAAAATGCAGGAAATATTTGTGTACAAAAGTTGAATAAACTAATCAAATGGTCGCCCTTTTTCAGTAACTGTATGTATAGAAAAGGATACGTTTTTATCAATTGTCACCTGATGAGATTGTACAAGGTAAAACGAGGATTCCACATGGCTAAGGTGTTAATTGACTTCTTAATTTATGACCTAATACTATGTATATGAAGTGAGCCCCGCTTATTTATCTAATTTATTCTTCCCGTTAAGTGAACGACCTCAGCGTGAATTCGTGACAATTAAAGGTACAATTAAACCAGGCGGTATATCAAATCGTATATTACTGCAACCAACAACACAGCAGTAGTCCGTTTTAAAATCTTTTAATGTGTCATTGTTAATAAAGTTGTCTCGTCAATATATTTTTTTTTATATTTTGATTCAAATGATGCTCATGGACATGTAAACGCAAACACTTAATCAGATCATTGTTTTTTCCAAGTCTGCATGGTAACTGCTTATCAACCGTTAGCCCCCAGTTGATGAACTCTCGGTAATTATTGCGTGATTTCATAGTTTGGCTAATTAGATTAGACATGCGCAGTTTAATGTGAAACTGGTGTATTACCTTTTTATATTGCTTTTTTCATTGAGTTGTGTTGTCAATGAATGTTGCTACAACAGTCAGAAATATTATATTTAAAATACTTATACAAAATATCAAATTTTCTCTTCATAAAAAGCATTATGGCAGTGGGTAAGTATCTCACAATTTATAATTTGACAATCTAATTAAAATAGAGAACTCTGATTTTGTTATCTCCATAAGAGATGCATTGATAATTTGAATTTGTACCGTAAATTGTATTCCTACAAGTAGGTCGTTTGTTCTACTGGTGATTTCACTAGCCCAGTAGCCAGTACTTTGGTACTGGCAAAAAAATACGGATCTTGTTTGACTAAAATTTGTCGTTATCAATGTTATAAATCATCTTAAATTAAAGAATATATTTCAAAGCTCAGATTTCTTGTCCGGATTTTGGCTATATCGTAGGTCTTTATTCACCCCATCAATTTCTTTTAGAATTTAGTGATTGTTATATTGCACATCACGAAAGAGATGTCAATTGTCGAAATGTGCATCTCGTGCAGTAAAATTGGAACATTACTAGTATTTACTTTTCATATAATTATGTTTTCTCTGTATACACTCAATACAAAGTAAGAAATGTTGCACATCCTGTAGCTCATTCATCAATCCTTCAAACTTGTCTTGCCATTTTAAATCATATATCCTGTCCTGTCCATATGCTTTCATAATCATATGATGTACAAACCAAGAAAAAAGCACCTAGGAATGAAGTCCATATATCTTTATCTTCTGCATTTTGAATATGGTATCCCATTATGATTGATGGTGAGGTACCTCAATCTGTTACATTTTCAAGATCATCAAATTATAATCTCCAATGAATGTAAAAAGGAATCGGGAATGAATAAAGTAGAAGATCATCTGAATAGGTCAATGAAACTTTTAATGAAGTAAATCGAAAGAATCTATTTATATTTCATAAGATCGGCCTTTAAAAGTTTGATAATAGAAACGAAAGGATATTGAGTATCTATCCTTCTCACGAAATCAGTACATGCACAGCAATACAGAAAAAAAGTAAAAGAACAACGCTTGTATTGATGTTCTTCATCTCAAAGTCACAGTGAGGCCTTCAACACGGATTTCTCGTAGAAACCACAAAGGCAACTAACAATGAAACTGAAATTCAAGTAGTAAAATTTTGGAGAAAAAAATGTTCATATCCATTATCATTAAAGGATATGAAACTAGTGGTACTGTAAGTACAGCCCCTACAAACAGGAATGGCAAAGTAAAAAAAAAACAAAAAATAAAATGCACATAGATATGATATGGTTATGATTCTGAGAAAGAATTCAATGGATTAACTATAACAAAAAAAAAAACGAAATCAAGGCAAAATCAAAATCTCAAACACATCAAACGAATGGAAAACAACTGTCATATTCCTGACTTGGTACAGGCATTTCCTAATGTAGAAAATGGTGGATTAAACCTGGTTTTTTAGCTAGCTAAACCTCTCTCTTGTATGACACTCAAAGCACATAAGCAAAAATGAAAGACAAAAAACAAAAACTACCATAGCACAATGACACAATAGCGTGTGTTTAGTCGAAGTTTGATATACAAAATAAATTCCACCATCAAACCCAACCTCCCTCTAGTACGATTATGTAAATATTTCACAAAAGTCTGTACAGCAGTTGAGGAGCAGTTGTAAATATTCAAGTGAAACTTACAAACAAACAGACGGACGAACAAAATGACCAAACTAACGAAAGCAGAGGCTCTAACAAGTCTGTGTCGATCACATAGATAAATGTGGACTTTCAAACACGGCAACTTTTCCAACAATTTAGGGGGCTTCGGTGGCCAAGTTGTTTCATCTACAGCGATCTCTAGCCTGTCAACACTGAGGTTGTGAGTTCAAATCCCGCGCTTGGCAGGTGCCTTTGACGCCTATCTTGAATGACTAGGATAGTGATTTTTCTTGCCGAAGATCGTGATTCTCTCCCAGCACTCTGGTTTCCTCTACCACGAAATTGGCCGCCAAGGTTTAGCCTAGTGGTCTGAAAGTGGTGTAAAACGCCTTTAATAATTCAATCAATCAAACATTGTATAATTCATGACTAAAATATGTTTTTGAGTTGATTTAGTATTGCTTTTATTTTTTTTCTGTTTACAGTATCTCTGTAGCTTCTGTTATGTTTGCCAATTAAACAAATATGAGTAAAATCATTAGTAAAGTACAAAGACTGGTATTTATTGACTATTTTACTTTTCCTGTTTGAATAGAAAATCAATTACTAAAAATGAGTTATTGTTCTAACACTTTGTAAGAATTAAATCTGTATATATTTTCTTTCATTGAGTAGTGTTGTCAATGAATGTTGCTACAACAGTAAGTTATATCGTATTTAAAATACTTATTCAAAAATATCAAATTATCTCTTCATTAAACGCATTATGGCAGTGGATAAGTCTCTCACAATTTATAATTTGACAATCAAATTAAAATGTAGAACTCTGATCTTGTTATCTCCATAAGAGATGCATGGAGATAACGAAATCAGAGTTCTATATTCTAATTATATTGATAATTTGAATTTGTACCGTAAATTGTATTCCTACAATTGGGTCGATAGTTTTGTTGGTGTACTGTTAACCTCCGTGATTTCACTAGCCCAGTAGCTAGTACTTTGGTACTGGCATAAAAAATACGGATCTTGTTTGATTAAAATTGGTCGTTATCAATGTTATAAATCATCTTGAATTAAAAAAAATATATCTCCCCCATTCAAAGCTCTGATTTCTTGTCCGGATTTTGTCTATATCGTAGGTCTTTCTCCAAAATCGAAAGTACCAAATCATATTTTAAAAGATCGGCCTTTAAAAGTTTGATAATAGAAACGGAAGGATATTAAGTATCCATCCTTCACACGAAATCAGTACATGCACAGCAATACAGACAAAAAGTTAAGAAACAGCTCTTTTATTGATGTTCTTCATCTCAAAGTCACAGTGAGGCCTTCAACACGGATTTCTCGTAGAAACCTTGAAGGGGATTAAAAATGAAACTGAAATTCAAGTAGTAAAATTTTGGAGAAAAAAATGTTCATATCCATTATCATTTAAGGATATGAAACTAGAGGTACTGTAAGTACAGCCCCTACATACAGGAATGGCAAAGTCTACGATTTCTTTAAGGAAACCCGCTCAAAAAAAGTAAAATAAAAAAAAAAAAAAACGAATTCCAAGGCAAAATCAAAAGCTCAAACACATCAAACGAATGGAAAACAACTGTCATATTCCTGACTTGGTACAGGCATATCCTTATGTAGAAAATGGTGGATTAAGCCTGGTTTTATAGCTAGCGAATTCTCTATCTTGTATGACAGTCATATAACATTCCATTATATTGACAACAATGTGTGAGCAATCAAACAGACATAATAGGTAAAAATGTCAAAAATTGGTGTACAGCAGTCAACATTGTGTTATAATCTTAATCACTATAAGAACAAATAGTTATTTAAACAAAGAAACACAAAATGGCATATAGACACTCTAAGGACAAAGTACATAAGCAAAAATGAAAGACAAGAAACCAAAAGTACCATAGCACAATAACACAATGGCGTGTGTTTAGGCGAAGTTTGATATACAAAATAAATTCCACCATCAAACCCAACCTCCCTCTAGTACAATTATGTAAATATTTCACACAATTCTGTACAGCAGTTGAGGAGCAGTTGTGAAAAATCAAGTGAAACTTACAAACAAACAGACGGACGAACAAAATGACCAAGTAAACGAAAGCAGAGGCTCTAAAAAGTCTGTGTCGCTCACATAGATAAATGTGGACTTTCAAACACGGCAACTTTTCCAACAATTTAGGGGGCCTCGGTGGCAAAGTAGTTTCAGCAGTTTCTACAGAGATCTCTAGCCTGTCAACACTGAGGTCGTGAGTTCAAAACCAGCGCTTGGCAGGTGTTTTCGACGCTAATCTTGAATGACTAGGATAGTGATTTTTCTTGCCGAAGATCGTGATTCTATCCCCGCACTCAGGCTTTCTCCACCAATAAAAACTGGTCGCCAAGATATAACCAAGAGGACTGAAAGTGGTGAAAGTGGTGTTAAACTCCTACAATAATTAAAGCAATCACACATTGTATAATTCATGACTAAAATTTGTTTTTGAGTTGATCTAGTATTGCTTTTTTTGTTTCAGTCTACAATATCTTTTTATCTTCTGTAATGTTTGCCAATGAAAAAAAATTGAGAAAAATCATTAGTTAAGTACAAAGACTTCTATTTATTGACAGGTTTACTTTGTTTACCAAGTTTTAGATCTTGTCATCCAGATCGTGCTTTTTGTTTACAGCTACTGACCATCTTCTACAGATTTTTCACTCAAAACATAAAGGGGTTAAAACTTATTTAAGGTCAAATATTGCAATGAGAAGTCAACTTAAAATTTTGGCTATGTTGACCTACTTATGGATCTTGTCTTGCTGATCATTTTTGATGGTTACAGTTTTTCTAATATCTACTATTGTTTCACCACGAATGTAAAGAATTGGGTAAAAATCATCATTGAAGGGTCTTTTTACTCTGCTGTACAAATGAGACAAACATTTGCAGATCTGCTAATCGTTTTTGCTATAAACATATTTCTCTGTCTGTTATAGTTTCAAGATGTTCAAGGTGGATAAAGACTTGTATAAACGATCTTAAAATGTTTGGTGGAAATAAGCAGTATCCAGAACAACTAAAAACCAATGAAGGAGCGGACAGTATGCACATCCAACCTCTGAGAGCGGGGAGTACAATGAAAGGTATGATAACTTGGTCCCCTCTCCATATACTTTTCATGTGCTATTGTAATTTAATAAAAGTTCCTTTATAATATTATTTGGAAGAAACATTACGAATTTGTATTTCCACTGGTAGAAATATTACAATTATTATAGTTGTTTGTAATGCTTTTACGAAACTTCATAGTAAAAGTGACACAGTTTTATATAAAAGGGTATACATATTTGTTCCAACAGGAGCAGATATTATAGCATTTTTATAACAACGTTTCCAAGGGAACTTCTGGTAGGCGGAGCATATACACATTGAGACCTGTTCCAGATTAAGTACCAGTTCATTGGTTGTCCTTTCCTACTTTTAACATCTTACTGTTTATTGGAAAAAAAGTTGTTGATGATAGGTCTTTGGTAGTCTGTGCTCAATGTATTTAAAATGCTTGACACCTTGTTAAGACAAAAGACTTAAAAAATACTGTATGTTCTTCTCTTGTTGTCTTTATCTTGTGTGTCAGTTGGTTGCTCAGTATTCACCTGTTGGGTATTACCACATAAGTTTTATATTTTTGTATGTTATTTGAAAGATCAGAGTAGATAGCCAAATGATTCATCATGGTACACATATGTTTGATTACTGTCTTATAAACGGTATCATATAGAAAAGTGTTTTTGTTTAGTAGTATTTAGTGTGTTTTGATCAATCGTTTAATTCTTATATTTTAGATTTGTTTGATAAAATCAGTAGTGTAGCACGGACTATATGACTGTTACCGATGATTAATGGATCACTTGCACTCACATAAGCACTTATACTGGTGCCTTTAGATTTTAGTACTTTAATTGGATCATATTGATGATATTTTGGCTGTCTTCATTCATTGAATAATTATATATGATCAGTTCCAAAGTTTGCACTGGCGGTCGTATTTTGCGAAAAAAAAAAAAAAAATTGTGGCGAAAAAATCATTTACGAAAGAATTTCTGCAGTTCGATATCGTCCATCTTGTTTTAGCATATACTTGCAACTTCTCATCCAATCAATTTGCTTGAATTTGTCTTATAAGTTTCACAGTACATACCTTTTCCGTGTACTAAGTAATTATGCATGAATGACCTCAAGGGTAATATTTCATTGTATAGTAATCATGATATTAAAAACAGAAATTGCCACTGGTTATTTTGGTATAAAATTCTGTGTCTCAAATTAAAAAAAAATGTTTGTAATTGTTTTTTTTTAACATTGTTTTTTAAATATCCTGCTATTAAAATCTTTGTTTTAAAAAAATATTTTGACAATTGCAAGTTTCTATCATTTGAATAAAGAATAACAAATATGGTCATTAACTAGGGTTAAAGAAAACCAAATATAACATAATTTTTATTTTGGGCGAAAATGAATAACATACAAGACGACACACATAGACAAAAATAAATGTTCAGATATATAAAACACAAGACAAAACTGCATGTCACAGACGGGCTACAAAACATTTGTGTTTATCCGCCGAAATATACAATATAAAATATAAAGTTAGAACATACTCATCCATTCTCGTCAAATGGAAAATCAGTATTTTCCCTTCTATTTTTCATAGTGTATGGCTTTCCATGCACTATCACATGCTATACATGAATGACTTTTCATTGTAGATTAATTATGAAAGTGAGCTCTTAAAAACTGCACTAACGAAGTATACAATTCCCAGCGGATATTTCCATAAGAAAAGAGCAAAAGAAAATAATCATCATGAGTACTGTTGTTTGTCTAATTACTATAAATAAAAACAGGAGAATAGACCTATAAAAGAATTTTAAGTTGAGATTTCAATATTGTAAACGTTAAATAATGGTACATATATAAAACCCTAAAAACAAAAATAATTTAAAAGGGGGCAAAGGTGTAGGTAAAATAATATCTGATCGAATTTTTATAAGAGACCTCAAATTCAATGAGGTTTTTTAAGAAACAATAACTGTTGATAAGAAAAATCATAGGAAGTTTTTGAAAAAAAATCAATACATTGAACAATATAAAAAGTAAGCATTTATGTTGAAACGATTATATTTTTAAAAACTTATTGATGAAGTATTTGTCATTATGAACAATTATATAATTTCTGAAAAGCTTATTTTTGAAATGAAGAAATTTAAGATATATAAGTATTAAATCGTACCTGAAGTAGAAGAAATCTCCATTTTTTAATAATTTATCCTATTTGTTCTCACAAAACTATTTCATTGCTATTTCATTCCATCTGTTGAAATAACCATTCAATATGATTTACATCCATTTTACTTACCATGTTTACGCTTAAAGTCAGCTTATGTTAAGGTTTGATTATTACAATGGGAGAAGTTAATTTTGTTATGTCACCCGAAGGTGTGAATGTGTTCTAAATTGGCCAGACAATACTTGGTCATGTTTTATCTACGGTGGCCATGTAAGCTAAACTTTTCGTAAAATAAATTAACAAAAGAAAGGGAGGGTGGGAGAGTTAAACTTTTGCACGTCAAACCATGTACTCAAACAATTTCTAACTAAATAACTTTAGTATAAAATGAACACTAATCACTTATAAATTGATAAGAAAGGTCTAAGGGACGCAACCAGAAAAAGTAGACGAAATTTGCACTGCGTAATTACTTAAAAACTAAACGATTATAGTACAACGCAATCTTATAATTGTGGTAATTTATCATTCATGCAATTATTTTGTACACAAAAAAGTATGAACTATAAAACCTTGTGAAGAGAAATTAAGGAAGCTCGATGATGATTGTTTTTAACTTTCTTAAAAAACTTGATTCATTTCGTTATAAATAGAAAAATTGTGATCATGTCTAAAGGGAATGTGCCACCTATATCTATAAGGGCGAGTAAGACACTTTTCAACTGCTAGATCTACCCAGGAGATCTTAGAACGATTAAGTCATGTGCATTCAACCAATGATGAATTTATGAACAGTATATCAATTGCAGCTAGGTATGTTGAAAACTGAAGTCCAATGGCCCTTTCGTAACTGGTGGAATATTGTCTCATTGGGATAGAAAAGAGGGACGAAAGATACCAGAGGGACAGTCAAACTCATAGATCGAAAACAAACTGACAACGCCATGGCCAAAAATAGAAAGACAAACAGACCAATAATAGTACAGATGACACAACATAGAATACTGAAGACTAAGTAACACGAACCCCACCAAAAACTGGGGGTATTCTCAGGTGCTCCGGAAGGGTACACAGATCCTGCTCCATGATAGATGAGCTAATAATGCCTGTTTTTCCCTCATTTCTCTCTTAATCACCTTACTAATATATCAATAACAATTTCATCGTTAATAAATCATCAATTATTTTTCCTTGTTCAATTTAGTTGGTAGCTGCACATGTACTGTACATGTTTTTATTGTGTTTGTTTTAGTATTATGACATATGGTCTAGATCCGCAAAGGAGGAGGTGTGTGCGAATATAAAACAGCTCTGAATTTGGATTGTGATTCAATATTTGACATAGCATAGGTTTCTGACACAGAATGAATATGGTCTAAGAACTTTAAAATTTGAAATTGGACAATTACCTATTATGGTCCAATATCTAAAATCGAAATATATGGTTAGATTCAGCATATCAAAGAACCCGAAAAATTGAATTTTTAATGAAATCAACAAAGTTTGATTTAGGACCCATTGCACCTCAAATTGTCCTCAATGTGTACCAATTTGATAATAGGCCTCAAAATCTAAAATCTAAATACACGGTTAGATTCAGCATATCAAATAACCCCATATATTCATTTTTTGTTGAAATCAAACAAATTTTTACCAACGTGGAAACTGGGCCCAAAATCAAATATCTAAATACAGGTTAAGATTCCTCATATAAAAGAACTCCAAGAACTCCAAGAATTCAATAAAGGTTAAACTCAAACTAAGTTAAATTTTGGACCCTTTGAACCTTAATGCGGAACAATTTGAAAACCGGGCCCAAAATCAAAAATTAATTCTGAAATGGATATCATAACTTATATATCAAAGTTTGTGGAAATTTTATTCCAAAAGAGTTTTTCTCAAATACAAAGTTTTCAACCACATTTTTTCCAAATTTTACAAAAAGACAAGGGACCATCCTTCTATATTTATTTCCACTTTGCAAATTGATTTTCTAAATCGGTTGAGGCAATCTTGACTTATCGTATGACATAGAAGTGTTGACAGACAGATGAACAGAGAGATTACTACATAGGGCACATGTCAACAACTGGGCCCTGGTAGTCTTAATCCATCGATTCATTAGTTTATACATTTTCCTGAAAGAAAAAAAAAATACATATATAATTTCATAAGTAAATGTTGCTGTGTGTTAAACAAATAATGTATACATTCATGTGGCATTGAAGAAAATTCCAATTTCATTTTTATACATCTCTTGTTTTCGTATTTCAATATTTTTAATTTAGTAATCTCAAAAAAAAAATCTTTTAATGCCGACTTGTGAATATGCAAATATTACGCACTTAGAGTACATTTAGCAGAGCTAAATCTAAAATATGATAATATGATATCATTAAACTACAAATGTACATGAACATAAATTTTGAAAATTTCTGCCAAAAATGTAAACAAATATAATATTGTTACGGGACGGATGGGTGTATCCCATAGGTAAAACATATTTATTCAGGTTAACACTATGTGTTATCTTAATGGTAAATTCTAATATCTGTTTACCTTGCTTCAGAGTTACAAACTAAGTGTACTGGTAGCGTAGCTGGCTAAATGGTCATGGCACTGGTAGCGTAGCAGGCAAAGCAGCTAAGTCACTGGTTTAAATGTGGTAGCTCAGAAACTCATTTAATATTGACTTACTTATTACATGTACAACAGATAACAAGATTGAATTAAGCTTCACAATTTATTATATACAAAACATTCAATACTATTACAAGTATACATCACATGAAAACCCACCAAATCACTTAAGTAATACAATTTACAGAGACCCCCCTTTTTGGTACGTTAGTC